CAATGCCCAGCTGGACATACTCAGTGGCATCTTTGGAAGATCTTTGTCTCAAAATGTTCTGTCAGGGCTTGTGTGTGTGTGTGTGTGTGTGTGTGTGTGTGTGTGTGTTATAAAAGCAAAACAAATACATAAAATGATGAAAGAAAGTCATCTTGACAAGCAGTTAAACCACAAGGGTGTGCATTTTTAATCAACAGCACAAAATTAAGTCATTGTTCTATACAGAAAATAATTCCGTTAATAGAAATAACTCAAGATCGGTTTTGTGCTGACCAGCACCGTAGGAACAAAGCTGAGAGAGAGAGCTTCCACCGCAACTGAATGCAGCTCTATCAAACACAACACAGCTCCGTGGCAAATAAATGCGGCTCTATCACAGCTGCACGGCAGCGTCACACTAAACCTTCTGCTGTGAGAATGTAAAAGCCACTGTGTCTGCTTTCACAAAACAATAGGCTACACTCTCGGGCAGAAAAGCATGCACACTCCCCTGAGAAACGGGGTAACTCTAAGGGAGGGAAACAGAGACACTGGTTTAAAGGCTTTTCCTTTAAAGGTGCCCACCTCCTCCAACCTGCACACATGCCTCCCCGCAAAGCTGTTCACAGGGACCTCAGCACAGCGGTTTCCACACTTGCTCACAGTCAGCTACGGACAACGGAAAATGCACTGTTAAGGATGGCAGTGTGCTTGTGCCAAATAACACAGTGGTGAGCAGAGTCATTATCCACAGTTTCAGGGAACTTGATTGGATTCTATAGATTGTAGGATGATGCAAAATTTAAAAACCGTTCCAAGAAGACCTCTGAGAAAAGTGCAGATAAAAAATTTAAGTGCATTCCTCTGCTGCGGGCTTAAAAACACATGGCAATAGCTTCAGCCAGGAAGCAAACCTGGGTGCACCGGGCCCCCATCAGCTGCACAATCTTAGCCTCCTGAAGGAGTCTCTGGGCTTTAAGTTTCAGCTCAATGACATACATGGCTCCACTAAGAGACTAAAGTGAGCATGCACAATGCAGGCAAGGAGGGCAAAATGCTCTGGACTCCCCTTGGTCAGAGCCCATAAAAACTACTGTTTAATACCCGATTTTCTGGGGATCACAGGATGCCTTTCTGCATGTGCCCTCGGTGGAATTAATGAGAAGGTGAGAGAAAAGCATATGCTTAAACGCCTGGCGGCAGCGTTTATCAACACAGCTCCAACACTCACAGCGCACCACTCGCTCTAAGTGTCCCAGAAATAGCACGCATATATAATCAACTCTCTGTAAATGATGCGAGCACATCATTAAGGGGATGATACGTACCAACTGTACGTTGGTCAAAATAGTGCTACCACTTAGACATTTGCTTTAAAGAGACACATCCCTTTTACCTGCTTCTACAACCCATAAATGTACACCCTAGTTAACATATTACTGACAGCACGATGAGAAAGCTCCTGTCAGATGCCGGCCAGCTGGGGTTTGAGACAAAATGTGCAGCCCCAGCTGACTAGTTAGAAGCAGTCTGGTGAGGTACAATTACGGAGGCATATGACAAGGCTGCATGCCTGGCTGACTTGAGAACCCATGGCATGGTTTTAAACAGCGGTCCTCCCTATCTACGGTCACAAAACAGCAATAAGTCAACTAATACAACGGTGTAGTATCATGATTTATTCCTCTGCTTTGAGTGTATGAGACCATGATATGATGCTGTGCTAGTCTACTAGGATTCACTCGGGCTGAGAACGTTAGGGCTGCCTACAGCATGCATAAAATCAACTGGCTTGTTTGGGGTAGAAGTCATGCTGTGTACTTGACAATGGATACATCAAAGAATACAAGTAAAATCGATGATGTCTTAACTCATTAAACTTAAAAACTTTAAACATAATAATAGCAACCCTACACCATGCTTCCACAAATGAGAACAGAATCATTAAAAGTTCTGAAACATAAAAATCGTCATCGCTTGGTTACTTAAGTTAAAACTAATTATGAAGTTTATACCTTTATTAAGAGTATACATTATTATAACTACAAAGAGCATCTGAAGAAAGTCGTCCTCAAGTTAGATGATTAAAAACACCAGCGAGCTTCAAGGTTGGCCTTCATCTTAATCATGAAAAGCTATGATTGACAAAGAATCATGACCAAAGGAAACAAATTCCACAAAGCCCCAATAAAATTATGAATGTTGAGAGGCTTTCTAATATTTTTACTCTTAATAGTAATTCAAATATTGACCACAGATATAAAAAAAATAGTCAGGTATTGTGAAACGATTCATGCATTAATGTTGAGTATGACAAAGAATGGATAGCAAAAATACAAAATATAAAAAGCTTAGAACGAAGGCAATTATTATTCTTCCTTTGCATGTTTTACTGATTCCATTAAACTCCTTTTAAAAATAGTTTTCTTCTAATTTACGTTACGATATCAGACCTTGACCTCAAATGTTACAATGCATATACTTTACCACACTTGTGTATTCAAACTGCGTATCTAAGGAAACTGTTCAAGGGAGCAAAGCCATTTCCCCATGAAGAAGGACAAGGAGAATGTGAAAGCAAAATTGAAATATATTTCTTTATCAGCCCCAGAAAGTAAGCCAAAACTGAGTATCGCTAGTTTTCATGGATTGCCATAAACAATCCAGGAAACAATTCTGTTTAACAACAAGCTTTATTAGAATCTGCTTCTTCAAATCACGAATCTAAACTTTCAATAAGGTTGTATTAATAATCATTGAATAAGTATCCTGTTCAGATGTAATCCTAATTGTTCCCTATGTGTGTATCTCCTTAATCTCAACAGCAAGAAGAAACAAAGTTAAAGAAAGGTTATTTGTCATCAAGAGAGGGCAATAAATTAAAAGCAAGAAAGATACCAGTATTTTTCAGAAGCCTATATACAGATTTATTTTATGTTTTCCTAAACAGCAATTACACTTCACACAGCTCATTCCCAGCTTTATCCTAGTGTGTTTTAATTATACCTCATTAGAGAGATATTCCATCCACAGACACTTTATACCAAACACAAACCTGCAGTCCACCGACCAGCCTGTACACACTCGACTTACTTTATCTTTTACACATTAGTACATGTTCCATATGACACAATAGATGCTTATTTGTTCAGCTGTTTATAAATTTCATACCAGTTAACTATAAGCACACAAACTGGCCTTGGTTGTCTTGCTAATGAATTTATCGTGCCCAGGAAAGTGCACAAAAATAGTTTATGTATTAATTACTTTCTAAATCTATAAGAGAGCTTATATAAAAATCTTTATCACCATAAGGATAATTCCCATCAGAAATACTTTTAAAATCTTGAAAACGAGAAGGAGGAGTGGGAAGGGTAAGGCCAAGATGGTTGGACATCAATGGCAAACGGGTTAGTAAAACATTACAACCCCAAATCACTCAGGTGGATTCCTCAACAGCACTAAAACTACGACTCATCCTCTGATGCATCTCCTCATCTCTACATACAACCTCCTTCAAAATCTGACTATTTTCAAGATGAACATATTTTCAGTCTGGAAAACAATGAATGTAACAGCATTGCACACTCGATTTCTCAAATTTGTACGAGTTCAACTCTAGGGCAACAAAGAGTCAGGCCCTGTTTTGTCTCACGCTATGGATCTCCAAGAACTTTGTGGATCTGGGGTGGTGATTTAAATTCTCTGAAAAATGCCTTCTTTTTGTTGTTGCCGTTGTTGTTTGTTTTTTTTTTTAATTTTATGTCTATGATATCTGCGTGCACATCCGTGTGTGTGCCACATGTGTGTATGTGTGTGTACCGTTGTGTGTACCACATGTGTGTGCCTTATGTGTGCCACGTGTGTGCCGTGTGTGTACCGTGTGTGTGTGTGTGTGTGTGTGTGTGTGTGTGTGTGTGTGTGTGTGCACCACATGTGTGCCCACACAGGTCAAAGAAGGCATCAGGTGCCTCGGGAACTGATGTTGCAAATCACTATGAGCCACCATGTGGATGCTGGGACCAAACCGCACCCATGGGCAAGAAGAGGAAATGCTTGGAGCTCCTGAGCCATCTCTGTAGCCCAAGAGAACACCTTTCTTAGGACAAACACTGCTTTTATAAATAAACTGGAGGGGTCTTGGAGCTCTGTCTGCTCTAAAATGCTACAACGTTTTAAAGGAAAAAAAAAATGTACTTCTATTATAGGAGAATAAAATATTCAGAGTAGATTTCTGTTTTTATATAAAGTACATGTATGAAGAAATGATTTTAAATAGTTTAATATATCACAGATTACTCAAATCACTTAATTTGTTTTACACATTTTGAATCTGAAAATATTAAAATTTTATATTTAATGAAGAAAAATATGAACTCTAGCATTTACTCGGGGATATTCTATGATCTGGGAAGAGTCCTTCTGCTACTGCTTTCTCACAGTAATAAAGAGGCTTCCAGAAGAACATTGAAGTAAGTGCCATAAAACCTGTGATTTGTTAAAAAAAAAAAAAAAAAAGCTACTTTGACTTTTAAGTTATTATCCGCCTGAAGAGCTCCTCCAAACAAGAACTATTATAGAATCTACTCCTAGCCCCACAGATGAATCTGCCGTTACCAGGTTCGGATAGCGACTATTATCACGGCCCTGCAGTTTCTTTCAAGTAGCTGCAATGGAAAAGGCCACAAATGAATAATAAAGATCTCATAATAGCTCTTAAGAGTTCTCCATGTGATGAAGGCACTAAAATGAACTCCAGAGAGTTTAAAAAAGGAGAGAGAGAAAAAAAAAAACCTCATGTCCTGATAAGAGAAAATAATTAACCTGACTTAATGCATCTAAGAAGGCTTCTATCACTCAGACTTTTACACTTCAAGAGCAGATAAAACACGTATATTAAAAGTACGTAGGTATTGTCTTTTAAGTACGTGTAGTGCAGCTCCAAATCTGCAGACGTTTCTGGGTCCCTTTGTGAGGCACTCAGGGAGTGTTAGTCAAGGGAGAAAGTGTGAAGGACTCACAGTGCTCAGTTTGCTCGAGGTAATGATGATGCGTCTCTCATGCAGCATGCTGGCGTATAGTCGCAACATGTTGTTAACGTCCACAGCAACGAAGTACTCTGTCAGGTTTCTCTGTGCGAGGGAAAAGGACTGTTTGAGCTCCAGCTCACAGCGATACGAGGGAAAACATCTTACACATTTACCGGTGTTAAAGTTCAAAAGATTATTAGATGTGGCATCCGTTAATAATAATTAAATGCAATACCTTTCTGTTGCCACATAACATGCTATATCCCACCGTCATCTAAAACATAACCTATCTATACAAGTATTTCTCAAAGGACTACCTCAGGATGAGTCCCACACTTCTCCGTGTCCCTCCCCACACTTCAAAATTTCCCCACCTCCAATGGAAGCCTACTGATTTTAGGATCCCAGTTTTAACCAAATACTCCTGGTGATTCACATATACACCGATGTTTGCAAAACTGCTACTCTTTAAAAATATTGAATTACTTCATGTCTCCCATTCCCTCTCCAGTACCCAAGGCACCCAATGGAGGAGATGATGTATGAACCATCCCCTGCTTCCTTATTAAAGAACAACACCCCTCATCAGGCTTGCTTTTTATTATTATAATCAAATAAAACTGTGATGCTCTAAATTAACTCAATTTAATACATGTTAGACTTCTACTACAAAACAAAATAGGGATGAGCTACATTCACAGTGCTACATAGTTCCTGTCCTCAGTAGTAACTTTCAACTTCCTCTTAGAAAGAAAGAAAGGAAAAAAGAAAGGAAGGAAGGAAGGAAGGAAGGAACCTTGAGCATTTAAAAAGCAATAATCCTAATGCACAGAGTACAGAGTAGGGTGGGTAAAGATCTGAACGACTGAAATTTGGAGGGGGGCAGAAAATAAGAAATCTACCCGTGTCTCTAACATGTAGGAGGCGGAGATTTAACAAGATAAACAGTCAATTAAAGCATCTCAAATCTGAAGTCTTGGGGACCGCTGTTCAACCTGGTAGGAAGAGTCTCACTTCCCGGCGTCTCTGAAGCTTCCTTCACCTCCCAACTCAACTCCAGTACGGTGTTTATGACATGCAACGGGGCCATTTTGTTACCATAAAGACATCTAAGTGGATGATTGCCCTCCAACACACAGCACTGATGGATGTTTCTAATGTTTCTATTCTGTCCCCAAACAGGACAATGGGAGGGCATGTCAGCAATAACATAAAACTTTTTTTCTTTAATGTTCTCAGTAACCAGTTTTGAACGGAATGTTTGTTCCTTTAAATATTTGAAAGTGATAGTCTGGCAAGATGAAACTAGAGCTCTCAACACAGCTCAGCAGGTAAAGGCACCTGACTTGAAGCCTGGTGACCTAGTTCAATCACTGGGACCCAGATGGTGGAAGGAGAGGGCTAAATCTCATACACTGTCATCTAACCTGCACAAATTCATTCATTCATAGTCTCTCTCCCTCCCCTCTGTCTGTCTGTCTGTCTGTCTGTCTTTTCCCTCTCTTCTTGTCTCTGCCTCTCCCCACTTCTCAATATGTAAAAATTAAAAAATAAAATTGAAACTCTTAGCTGTTTTCTGGAGGTAGCTAGAGGAAAGTACCTCTGTAGAAGACTTCTGAGTGACAAGGTCATGGACAACTGAGCCAGGAAACAGTAAGCAGCCATGAGCCTGTGCCCGTTAGGGACAGAGGTCAGGGTTTCCTTACAAGGCAGAGAGCTTGGATGGTGTGTCCTGAACCTCGTTGTGAGATCCAGTTTATGTGAGGTCTTTTGATAGAACTTATCCGAAAACCCTTAAAGGGGAATCCATAGGGCAGACCTTTTCAAACACTCTAATTTGCTAGTCCTGGTTTGGTACTAGAAAATGTGTAATTGGGAGATGGCTGAGCTGGTAAACACTTGCCACACAGGCAGAAAGGTCTGAGCTGAGATCCTCAGCACCCACGTACACATCTGGATGTAGGGGCACACTCCTGTAATCCTACCACCTACCCGAGAGGTGAGGCGGGTGGATTGCAGGGAAGGCAGGTGAGCTCCGCTGGCTCCAGCCTGCGTCACAGAACAAGGTGGAGAATAACGGAGGATCACACTCAGTGCTGACCTCCAGGCTCCTCAGGCACTCACATATGTACAGACACATGAGCACACACAAACATGAGGAAAATTTACATCTGTAAGATTGCCCTTCACTCATGATTCACATGTTTGAGAAAGTAAACCTTATAAGGGTTTGAAAACTAAATGGAAAAATTGTCCACATCTGAAACACATACAAGAATCGCTATGAAGCAAATCTTCATAGTGATTTTCCTTTGATTTGATGGTTTACAACTGATTTATTTCAATGACCTTAGGTGTTTTCCTTTTCCCACAGTCGTCGAGGCATGGAAGTACATCTACCATTCTCACTTATCCATGAGAGCTCCAACAGAAAGTATTAACTTGGATAAGTCTTGAGAAAAACAAAGATTTCCAGTATAGCTACAACTAATGGTTAACAATGTAACAACCATCATCAGGGAGTCAACAACTGGGAAATGGATGATTTAAACAAAGTTACAGAAAGGAAGTCTAAAATTCAATGATCTGTTTACTAGAGTAACTATAAACAGAATTTTTTTTTTCTGATATCAATGTGGTAGAAGCCACACCTCTACACCTCCTCCCACTTCAGACAGGGAGCTCAGGAGCTAGCTAGCTGAGGGTGGCGGTCCCTAACTGACATCCTTTTCTCCTTTTCCTCATCAGCCCAGGCATTGAGAAAGGAATAATGGAATAGATACATGGAGAGGGAAAGGAGAGGATGCCCTGGTTTCTTACCCTCTCATAATTTCTCCCCAGAGACCCAATGAGAACCAAACAGCGTTTGCATGATGAGAAAGTTTTAGGTGTTCACAAACACTTACATTCTCCGGGATCGTCGGGAGTCCAGTTATGTCAGGGGCGATGAAGCAGGAGTGCTAGACAGCAACAATGAAGAACAGAGGGGCAGAAGAATTAAACATCCACATTCCATATAATTCTCAATAACAGTCAGAAAAGCGCTGACAGGTGAATGTCACTGGCTAACAATCTGGACTCGGCCAGAGGCAATGGTCAAAAGGAAGAGATTCTGAAACTGGAACAGAAGCAGAATAAGGTCCTGCACAAGTAGTAAGACAAAAAAAGAGTATGTTCCCAAAAGGTTACACATATTTAAATATACCTATGAACATGTGTTCTCAAAATGTACTTAGGCAGACTGAAAAAATGAAAGCACGCTATCTGAAGAGTCTGTAAAATCTACTGCGTACTGGGGTTCTATGATAAATTATAACAAATGCTTGGTAGCAAGTGTAATACTTAGAAAACAACAACAAAAGATAACCTTTAAAGGATTAAAACTTAAAAATGTATTTGCTGCCAGGCAATGGTGGCGCATGCCTTTAATCCCAGCACTCTGGAGGCAGAGGCAGGTGTATCTCTGTGAGTTCAAAACCAGCCTGTCTACAAGGCAAATTCCAGAACAGCCAGGGCTACACAGAGAAATCCTGTCTTAGGAAAAAAATGTATTTGCTATCCAAAACTATGACCTTATTCCCACACCAATAAATGAATAATTAATTTCCAGAATATATAAAGCAATGTTATCAGATATCTACATGAAAATGATACTGAGTCTCTACCCCAGTATCCCAAAAATAGCTCCCCATTTTACTCACCCCAATCAAAGTGCAATCATCAAATTATCCCATTTTCTGTTTGTATTATGCTCCTAAATCATTTGATGTCTTAATTATATAGGAATATATTTACTACTGTCTTATATCTAAAGATTGGAACAGAAACTTTCAGGAGTATTTAAACAGAGCTGAACAAGTAAGAGGCTGTTTCACAGTCATAATCATAGCTTTCCAGGCTGGAAGAACAGTGCAAGTCACAAGATGACCCTGTGACAACGATAAAAACGTGACGGGAATCTCACTCGCGTGCTGAATCTACTTCAGCCTCCTACTGAAAGGGAAATGCGAGTTTATGCCTATGAAACACCTTCATTTGGATGTGCTGTACACATTACTGCATTTCATGAAGTTAGGAAAAAGGAGATTATAAGCAGAAAACACTCTAGATGATTATTTTTAAAGAGCCCATTTCCCAAAGATCCAGATTTATTAATCAGAGAGGCACAGTGATTGTCGCATGGAGATGTGAGGAGCCAGGGTCCTGTTCACTCACCGGCATCAGTGAGGGCTGATCTTTCAGAACTTGCTCACTGGCAATAAATAGCTCTTGGTTCTTATGAGAGAAAAATGAGCATTTTACTTTCAGAGGGGAAGCTGACACAAACACTCTCTCCTACGCTGAGACAAACGCATGCTGCTACATTGTATCCTCAGAGTACTTGAGTGACACTCATGATGCAGGACGCTCTAAATTCTGACCTGCCAATCTATTCTGCAAATGTCCTGTACAAGGCTTTGCACTGGGAGTACAGGCAGTGGATATTTATTGAATTTTTTTTAAAGTACAGTTTGAAAAGAAAAGTCAAGTATAATACATATTCACTTTTCACAAAGTCTGCAATATTCCAGTGATAATAATCACTTCCAAACCTCCCAGTAAAGACTTCCAAGATCATCAGCTTTTTTAATCTGTGGATAAGGCTAGGTCAAGACAAGTACTCTAGCTTACACACAGCCAATCAGTGATGGACAGGCCTGGGTATATAGTAATCTGCTGTTGAAAGCAAAATGAATTATGATTGACCTTCATACAAAAGCCATAAATAGATTTTACTAGTATATTAAGTGACTATAGCTTGACAAAACAGGTACCCAAGATTTGAAAGCTATTAGACTATGAATTCAAAAGGCCACCTGATCAACAGGTACATATAAAGGTGTCTAACATCACCAAGCACTAGAGAAATGCAAATAAAAAATGTAATAAGCTACTTTACTCCAGCTCGGCAACCATGATCGAGCAGACGGAAGGTGGGAAGCCCGGAGGAAACTATGAGAACCCTAGGACTCTGCTGGAGAAAACGGAAATATGGGAAACAACATGGTAGTTCCTCTGAAAGAAGAAAATAAAACTGTCCTGTTGACGCAGCGATGCCACTTGAGTATGCGCTCAAAGGACAGGGTAAGAGTAACCCTGTGGCTCGCTGCACAGGCTCTGCCCAGGAAGCAAAGCACGCCTGGCCATCTCCTGACGCATTCTAACGGTAATTTTATTTATACACACAAACATGGCAACTCCTATCTAGCTATTAAAAGTAAAACTTTGTCATCTGTGATAATGTGGTTAAATTGAAGAATGTTACACTAAATAGAAAATAACCGCATGATTTCATTCATATATGTAATTTAAAAAAAAAAAGTTTGGCCTCATAGAATCAGAAATAATACCCCATCAACAAACACAGTTATCCTATTTAAAAGAAGATAAGGGCTTGGAATACAGATCGGTAGTGGATGGCAAAGGTCTCGGTACCATACCAAAACCAAAAAGACTAAATAAATAACAGACTTGAGTGGAATACGTTTTATAAAGACGTATTTAAATTTATATGACGTGTGTCTGTGTATATGCGCACATGTGTGAGGGATGTCTGTGGAGTTCAAAGCAGGCGTCAGATGCCCCAGTGCCAGAGTTACAGGCAGCTGTGAGCCACTGACTTGGATGCTGGGAAGCAAGGGCAAGAACCTAATGAGACATCTCCCTGGCTCCAGAACACATTTTCACTACTCTGCAATACCTTACAACAGCTGCTCCCGTCACTTAAATAAGTGTGTATACTTTAATTGAGCATATAACTCTTTGACTAAGTATCTGGACTGCTTTATAAATATAATAGTTTAAAAGAACGATGTCTTCTTTTCATAAAAATCCAGGGCTCCTTTGATGTCCTTCACTTCTCCTGCGTCTCCAAAGCATTCCAACTACCCACGATGGCCTCTGCATTATTTGGAATACAATGACCTGTGAATCTTGAGTTCCTCCCTACCTGATCTTTTCTCTAGTTCTCACACCATTTCCTTTCTTTTCATAATCGTCTGGGGGAGAAGATCTGAGCTTATCCTTTATGCTTCTAGTAAAATGTGTAGATAGCAACAGCTACGCCTGCTGAAGACTTCCAAATCTGAGCTTAAAATCCCAAGTTCTCCTGGGCTTTCGTTTCCATAGTCTCCAGTGAGGGGGGGGGGGAAATTCCATCCAGTTTGCAGCAAATGAAAACACACAGAGAAGGCAGCAAAGATTTCAGGAAGGAACAAGCATGGTCAACCATGCGGCAAGAACTTCATAACGAGGAATGAGGTGGGTTCTGAAGGCAGTCAGGCTCCAACAGGCTTTGCAGTGGAAAGAAAGCGCTGTGGCCACTTAAAATGCTGACCAGAACAGTAAGACCAGAGGCAGTAAAGTACCCAGACAGAAGAAAAAACAAAAACAAACAAACAAACAAAAAAACCTTGGAGTAAAGCTTGGTGGATGACGCTGAAAGTCTAAGCCGGAAGTCTGAAAACTGTCTACATAAAACGGGGAGTTAAAGGCAGATGTGGTGGCTATGTGGGAGGCTAAACAGAAGGATTGTGAATTGGATGCCAGCCAGAGCTGCACAGTAAGGCTCACAGCACTGCTCTGTCTCAAAAAAAAAAAAAAAGGCGGGGGGGGGGGAGTCCATCTCATGAAGTGGTTTTCCATGGCAAAAACCCGATAACTATTATTCTGCCAAAACAAGGTAGCAATAAAACGATTCCCAATGACATGTTGCTATAACCATAAATGGGAATGACCACGGAGACCCACAACTGGACAGTGCTGAAAGTGAGAGACTCGGAGCACTCAGCCCTAAATGGGATCTGTTTACCAAAGTCCTCCCCTCGGTGATCAGGGACCTATGCTGAAGAGGGAGCAGAAAGACTGTGCAGAGGGTGACAGAGGATGCCAAGTAATCAGACCCAACACGACTGGAGAACATATGAAATCAGAGAGACTGTCAGTATGCTCAGGGCCTGTGCGGGTTTCAGCCACATAAGAACCAGCACTAGGAGAGGGAAATGGACTCAAGGCCCCACCCCTAACCAAGAAGCTACTTACGCTTGATATCTCCTGGGAAAGGGAAAATAGTTTTCTCCTACAGTGTCACTGGGTAAATCAACCACACTTTAGGGCAGTCGGCATGCCAGGTGTGGTTGGCCAACATAAAATGGACTTCATGGCTTTCTGTTGTGTGTGTTTGTTCTGTTTTGTTTGGGGGAGTTTTTTTTTTTTTTTTTTTTTTGTAGTTGTTGTTATACTGGAGTCATCTGTTTGTTAGTTGGTTGGTTCAGTTTTATTGTTGTTGTTTCTGAGAGAGACAGAACATGAAATTGGCTGGGATAGGAGGGTGGGGAAGGATCTGGAAGGAGTAGGGAGAAGGAAAAATATGGTCAAATACTTTGTATAAAAGAAAAACGTTAAATAAAAAGAAGCTGTTAAGGGCATAGGTGCATCTCCTTGGTGGAGTGGTTGCCTAGAATACGTAACGACTGGGTCCACTAAAATGTTTTTAATGGCAAACAAACTGAGGAGTTACAACTAACTGTTTTTAAATAATAAGAGCGTAAGGAACTTTAGTTTGACGGTCTGTAGAAGACAGAACTAAAGGACAGAATCATTTAAGTAGGACTGCTGAAAACCTGAGTCGGAGTGCAAACGGTGGCAACTTCAGAGGTGGGATAACCTAACTGAGTGCTGCTGTCCATGCCGTGCAGGGCATAACAGACACGAGTAATCTCCAAAGAAAGAGCGTAAGCATGATGATTCCATTATCACTCAAAACCGCAAAGGGTCTCACATGAGTAACTTTCAAGTTGAAGTTCCTCAAAGTTTTTCTTGCCCTATTAATTTTTTCTTTTTTTTGGGGGGGGGGGGGAACCAACCTATTCACAGGAAACAATGATAGTATCAATAAATAAATCTATTTTTTTTTTCAAAAAATTAACAAAAGATACGAATGAAACCTCCACTGTCACCTACGGCTTTGGATATTTGCAAGCCCCCGCAATACAAATCCTGGCGCTTCAACCTGAGTAGATAAAGGTTACTGACTCTCAGCAGAAAATTAGCATCATAAGAGCATTGTTCACATAAACACTGATCACATTCCAGGGTTTCATAACTAACCTGGAAGGTACAGTACATTCACACGTAAGGGAAGACAAGGACATTATAGCTGGAGTCTGCATTTTTCATTTTACTATGAAGCATACCTACCTCATTTTAGGAGACTCTCTCTCTCTCTCTCTCTCTCTCTCTGTGTGTGTGTGTGTGTGTGTGTGTGCGTGTGTGTGTGTGTGCGTGCGTGCATGTGTGTACACTTTGAAAACCAATGTTCCTTACAACCAAACTAATAGCTTTTTATTTCTTCAATTTAATGTCTATAACAATATGAAATACAAGTTACATGAATCGCACCGTGTCACAAGTTTTGACATTAGCACTAAGCAAGGTTAACAGAGTCTCTGAAATTTTCTAGGCACGGTGACCTGGCAAATGACTCCTGGAACAGGCATGTGCTCTCAAGTGAGAAAGAACAGTCTCCAAAGAGGAAGTTACAAAATCCTTACCACACTCAAGTTGACAGGCATATTTGCCTTTGGTACTGGCTGGTTGTAGAGTGATTTGAGGGTTTCATTCAAATCATCTTCCTGAAACAAAGCAAAGATCATTTAATAATTAAAATATATAAGAAGCAAATAATTAAAAGTATCCTTATACATTACCAATGGGAATGTAAAATGGTGTAGCCATAACAGAAAATAGCATGTATGATCTGTTTCAAATAATGAAACAGAAATATCCCAATACCTCCAGATATATGGAAAGGAAGGAAGGAAAGGAGGGAGGGAGGAAGAGAGGAAGGGGGGGGAGGGAGGGTGGGAGGAACTGAATGTAAGTACCTAGGTTGTTTTGTTTGAACTAGGGGCTTCATGTGTGCCTGGAAACTCTCTACCACTGACTGGGTCCTGATGAGTGAGGCAGCTAAGCAATCATCTGTGTTGATGTTTTACAATACACACGAGGTAGATACCACTTAAATGTCTACTAAGGGACGGATGAGTCAATAACTTATAGTATATTCGTGCAAAGGAATATCATCCAGCTTTAAAAAGGTAGAGGATTCTATCAGGTGGCCCAGTTCTACAACTTTGAATGTGCTACAAAAGGAGCAATCAGCAGGGACAAACATGGTGGGGTCCACCTGTGTGGGAACCTTCAGTTAAGAAGGCAAATGCAGGTATCAGTGTGGGCGGGCGCCAGGGGCGTGGAGGAACGGAAACATCCAACCTCTGTTTAATGAGTGCAGGGATTGGGTTGTCCAGGTATGAGGCACTGGTAGTTAAAAACTATGTGAGCGTGATAAATACCATCCAATTATAATCTCTGAAATGGCACAACCATTCCTTCTATGCTATGTCTAACACCATAAAGCAGTAGAGAAAGAAGTCTGCTTACCAGTTCCTTTGCCAAGTAATCTGCCAGAGTGTTGAGAAGCTTATAGTACACTTCAAACCATGGCAAGTAACTGGAAGAGAATTTACGGGTATGTAAAACACCTAAAGTTTAGAACCAATAAATAAGCGGGGGGAGGGGGGTGTAGAGTTGGTCGTCTTTAAAACACACTGGTCCTGGAGAACAGAAAGGAGCTACAGCCACGCTTTCTTTACCAATCCCAGACAATGTATTAACATAACTGTAACAGTATTAGTTATATTCACTTCTATTTTATATCAGCAGCAGCTGCAAGATGACCTAACCCTGGGTCACAGCGACGCTGTTTGAGGTTACAAAGCAGCTAACTATAAAAGTAGGTGTGACTAAAGTCACACGCCATTAGAGCGCAGGGAGACCTTAAGAAACGTGTCCTTCAAGCGAGTATCCCAGAGTGCACTGACATAAGTTAAGATGCTGGCGGTGTCACAGTACCACCACCGTACAATGGTCTACCACTGACTTACACAGAATACAGCAAGACTTGAAGCTCTTTTTATTACCCAGGTGATACATAATGCGACAGAACTATGTGTACAATTAATTCTTCAGAGACTACGCAAACACCATTACAGATAAAGCCTATTCTAGAAGTTTACACATAAAGTAAGTTGACTTTCGAAAACAAAACCAATCATGCCTTAAGACCAACTTTGCTGCGTGAAACTACTCTTTTATGTATTTGTGTACTATTTACTTTTATTATTTATTTACTTATTTTCAAGTAGAGTCTTACTATTTAGTAGACACTCGTTTTCTAATTCAGTTTATTACTTTCTCTTTTAATAGGAATGAACAGCCTAGGGCCAATGAGATAACTCAGTGCTTAGGTAAAGTGCTTTCCATGCAAGCACGGTGGTCTGGGCTTAATTCCTGGAACCCACATAAAGAAGGAACAGAAGTGACTCCCCAGAAGGCTGCCCTCTATGCATACACGCGTACCATGACATGGCACTCCCACACTCCCACACATCGCCTATACACAGAAACAATGCTTAAAAAGCGTAAGCATGAGAGATATGAAGACAAATGTATGTTTATAATGAATAAAGGGAAAAGCATCACAGAGAACTTTAAAGTGACTTTCTCCTCTCAGGAGATGAACAAAAGCGGTGCTAGTAAACCAAACTTTTAAAAAGTAACCACTGGAAAGCAAGAAAGAGAGAAGGCAAGGTAGCTTGAGGGAACCGGAGTTCAGTTACTGGAACCACAGAGTGTTGACTGAAGAACGCACTACAAAAAGCTGTCATGTGACCTCCACACATGCTCCACAGCCCGCGAGCCACCCCACCACCCCCACAGTGATAATCATGTGACCTCCACATACTCCATAGCCTGTGAGCCACCCCACCACTCCCACAGCAATAATGAAATTGTGGGGGGGGGGGGAGAAGAGTTTTCAGAAATTCTAAAAGGTGAGGGGGGGGGAAACACACCTCAAAACATGAAAAGATGGAGATCACAGGAAAATTCCCTGGAACTAGAATAAAAAGACAAACGGGAAACTAATAAGAGGGAAGTCTCTGTCAGGGACACTGAACAACGGTGGCTCCCATTGCTTACAGAATCCACAGAATGGCCCCTCCCGTTCAGAGCTGAGTCTTCTTACTCAGAATGTGATCACACAGGAAATGAGGAAGCCTCAGTTCCCCTGACATTTAAGAACAGGAATAGAGAGAGGAAAAAAAAAAAAAAGTTGGTATTTCCAAGAAGACAAAGAGGTAAGACTCAACACCAACTACAAATGTCACCAACTCCTCAGAGACCCCGCAAGTGAGATGATGAACACCTTCCAACCAGAGGTGAAGAGGCCTCTGAGGGACGATGAAGTGGTAACACCGTGCTCGGCCATTCCAGGGCTCACAAACTCTTCTCCTGGCTTTAGTGAAATAAGAGACGCCAACAAAGGACGCAGGGACATGGCAGACACAACAGAGACCACAACGAACAGAGGAATCCAGGACCAGACTTGTCCTCTCCTCCATATCTGTCCGGTCTCATCCCTAGCTCTGCAGGAGGCCACCTCTCTAGCAGAGCACACAGACCTCCCTCCAACCTTCCTCACCATCCGTCCACTGCCCCAGCCCCCATCTCCAGCAGGCAGGAAGGGGAACACACCAGCCAAGCCTTCCAGAGAAGCAGGAAGGCCAGCTGAGTAGGTAGGCGAGCTTCGGATCTTCACTTCCTCTCCTCTGAGTTCAATCCCCCAATCTCATGCCCGGCTCTGTGGCAGGCCTCTCCTCACTCTCTACCCAGATTCCCAGGGGACACAGATCCTGGAGGGACACCCTGCTGCCTTCCCTCCTAAAAACTCCCTCAGGACTCCCCATCTTTTAGTGCATTCAAATTCCTAAATGCAAACTCCCAATACCCAGAAACTCCAAACTGTCAGTGACCACACCCAACACGGTCCTAGAATAATTCTCTACCAGCCACCATACCTTCCTAAGAACTAGACAGGGCAACAGGAAGCCAAGGAACAAAACACCCACACAACAAAGTCAAGACCTGATATCAATCCTTAGAATTGCAACCATCCCAAACTCAGATGCCCAGACACCAGCATAAAAACACGACCAATAACAACCAGAACAAAGTCTCCACTGAAGGCCAGCAGCCCTCCCAAAGTAGGTCCAGAGAAAGAAAACACAGCTGAAGCACAAGACGAAGGCCTTTAAAAAAGCCTTTATGACTATAATAAAGGTCCTCAAAGAGAAAAATAATAAATACTTAAAAAAAAAAACCTATGAAAACATAAGAAAGCAATGGAAGGAATATGGAAACTTTAAGAACTTGACCAGAAGCTCGGAGGCAAGCCTTGCCAACAGAATATAAAGCTGGAATCTCGGGCTTTGAAGACGAGATAGAAGAAATGCAAAGCTTTGTCAAAGAAAATGTTAAATCCAAAAAAAAAAAAATACAGTCACAAAATATTCAGGAAACCTGGGACACAATGAAAAGATCAATCTACAAATACTAGGAATACTAGAAAGGGGAGAAATCCAGGAGAAAGGCACAAAAAAAAATTTTTTTTTCAATAAAACCATAGAAGAAATCTTCCTAACCAAATGGAGGAGATGCCTATCAAAGTACAAGAAGTATGCAGAACACCAAATAGACTAGTAGACCAGAAAAGAAATTTGTATCAACATATAAACAACTATTAGAATAACACCTGACTTATCGATTGAGACTCTAAAAGCCAGACAGGCGTGGACAGATAGATGCTCTACACTCTAAGAGACCACAAAGGCCAAATCAGGCCACCACAGTCAGCAAAATGTTCAATCACAAGACATGAAAAAAAGAAAGGCATTCCAAGACAGAACACACCTTAACATTAAGGACATCACCCGAAAGTATAAGGATGTTATGCTCCAAAGACAGAGGCACCCATGTTCGTAAAAGGAACACTGCTACAGTTTAAATCATACATTTATCATCACACACTGATAGTCGGAGACTTCAAAAGCCCAGTCTCATTGATAAACAGGATACTCAGACAAAAACTGAACAGGGAAATTCGGAGCTAATTTACATTGTAAACAAAATGACCCTGCAGGTATTTATGGGACATTTCACCCAAACACAAAAGATGATACCTTCTCAGCACCCCATGGAACTTTCTCCAAAATATACATGCTCAGATTAAAAAACAAGTATCAACAGATACATGAAAATTAAGACAACACCCTGCATCCTATCTGACCACCACAGATTAAAAATGGATGCAGCAGAAATCTTGGAAATCCGTGTTAAATGAACAACTCACTAGTGAATGTAAAGGGGGTCAAGAAAAAACATCCTAGAACTGAGCGAGAACGAAACACTTGGGACACGATGAAGGGTGAAGGCCAGTTCCGAGAGGTGAGCTCAGAGGAGCAAGTGCCTACCTAATAACATAACAGCACACCTGCCAGCTCTAGAGCAAGAAAGAGGAAATCACATCCAGAAGGGGTAGAACACAGAAAACAAACTCAGGCCTGAAATCAACACAATAGAAACAAAAAAGCAACAGCTACAAAAAGCAACTGGCTCATTGAGAAAAATCAGGAAAAGCTGACAAACTCATAGCCAAATTAATTAGCAGGCAGAGAAAAAAATATTCAAATTAACAAAGTTACAGATGAAAAGGGGACATAAGAACAGAACTTTGAGGAAATCCAGAGACTCATAAGAACATACTTTAAACACCTGTACTTCACCAAATAGGAAATCTAAATGAAATAGGTAAGTTTCTTGATACATGACACCTACAAAAGTTAAATCAAAATCAGATATGCAATTTAAAATGGCCTATAGCCCATATCAAAATAGAAGTCTCCCAATCAAAAAGAGCCCAGACTTTCAAAAGAGGGTTAATGCTAATAATCCTCAATTTATCGAATTAAACATAAACAGAAGAGCATTGCTCAATTTGCTTTACAAGGCCACAATTACCATGATACCTAAAAACACACAAAGGCCCCATGAAGAAAAAGAATTACAAACAAATTTCATGTGTGAACATAAATGCAAGAATACTCAATAAAATACTTGCAAACCAAATCGAAGAACACATCAAAAAGGTCATCCATGATCAAGTGGCCTCATCCCAGAAATGTAGGGATGGTTCAACATAAGTAAGTTAATAATATAATCCATTATACAAACAAACCAAAGGCAAAAATCACATGATCATCTCCTGAGATGCTGAAATGCCTTTGAGAAAATCCAACACCCTTTATGTGGTGATATTTTGATTATGGTCTAATAAATAAAGCTTGCCCAAAGTTTAGAGTGCAAAGCTAGCAACATTAGTTAGCCACAGAGGCCAGGCAGTGGCCTTTACTCCCAGCACTCGGGAGAAGAGGCAGACAGATCTCTGTTAGTTCAAGGCCACCCTGGGCTGCATGAAATTGATCCTGTCTAAAAGAGAAACAGCTCACACAAAGGTGATCCCAGCACTTGGAGTGACACGCCTTTAATCCCAGTACGAAGGAGGCAGAGACATGAAGGTATATGGCCAGGCAGAGAGAGGAACATAGGCAGGAG